CGAACCTCTTGGGTACGTCGATATTGCTGGATACAGATCTCTGCAGCACCTCGGCAGGGCCGGGACCGCCGGCCGCGGGCAGGGCAGGGGGCTGGAGCGCAGCCGGCTGCGCGTCCTGCACCCTCCAGCACGCCTGTGAGCCCTGCTCCGGCAGCAGCACCTTCACCTTGTCACTCAGCGGGTTGTGCTGCTCCGCGAGACCGGCGCACTCCTGCCCGTTGTAGGCGACAAGGACCTGAAAAACAGCACAAGGGATGGTTTGTTGGTGCCACCCACTGCTCCCAGGGGGGATATGTCCTGCCGCACCACAAGCAAGCCTTTGCCCACCGTAGGATCTCCTTTCCTCCTCCTCCCGGAGCAGAGGGGGCACAGAGGGGTTTAGGGTGAAGGCAGAGCCTGTTCTAAAGGGCTTGGACTTCAGACTGCTGTCACAGCAAAGCAAAGGGGTGGCCAGGGTTCATCCCAACCCCACTACCAAGAAATCTGCTCTCCCTGGGCACAAGCTCCCCAACTCCAGCAACCCCAAGTTGAGGGATTTCCTGAGCCGGTATCGGCCGCCTCTCAAGTGTCCTGACCTCAGGTGGACTTTTCTCCAATTGTCTGCTTTGGCTTTGCTCTCACGCCATCCTGCTGCAAGGACTCCCACAATTATTACACACCCTGGCAAAGTACGTAGGCAAAAGGATTAAAAGCTGAAGGGGGATGGGGGAAATGGAGGTTTCCTGCGTGAAGTGATCCCAAATTCACACCCTGGCTCCTTCTGGGCAGGGGAAGGAGATGTGCAAACCTCACCTCGTCCTTCATAGTCCCAAATGCCTTCTGATGGGCAGTTTTCCACCACTACCACCCATGGGCCTATTTCTGTTAATGGAAATGTATCTGTGTCAAAACACGCTACATGTGTCTCCAGCTATTTATAGGAACAGGAACATCTCTTTATGGAAGCACCATGGGTGTCATACCAAGAAGCCGATACGGGGCAGACATGCACAGCCACACCCTGAGCGGGCAGGAGCCCGCGAGCCCATCTCAGGTGGGACCTCCAGCATAAACACCCGGGTGGAAAAAGCCACCTGCGGTGGGACCAGGGTTAAGGGGATCACCGCAAGGATCAGGACACAGAAGACCCTGACCCCACTTCCTGAAAACAAGGAGTGAGGCCTCCCCGTGAACCACACAGGCTGTCCCCCAGACCATGCAAGGCATGAGGAGCCAACACCTCCTTCAGCTTTGCACAGCCACCAGCACAGGTCCCAGCTGTCGCTGGGAGGTGAAGGCACCCCATCGCTACTTTTATGCTATTCCCAGCAGCAAAGCAAGCAAGCAAAATCCTCCACAGCAGAGCATGTAGGAGGAAACAACTCTCACTGTCCTGTGGTTAATAAACACGGGGCAGGAGGAGCCAGAAAACCTAACAGGGCCCTTATTTACACTCCATTTCACAAGCTCTGCCCAGAAAAGGTTTTACAGTTCTGCAGGTAGCAGCCAAGAAACAGGCTCTGCGTCAGCAGCTCATGGCTCCCCTCGGACAGCGCTGCTTGGCTGGGTGTTAATGGGAACCATTCTGGTAGGATCAGGAACGAGCGCTGTTCCCTGCCCCAGGCAGCATCCTGGCCAAGGCACGGCCCTCCTAAGCATCGGGAGCCCAGGACACAAGAAATGGCAGGATCCAGCAGGACTAGATGTCCTTTCTGGATGAGCCACGGCACCTCACTCTTCCCTAAGAACTTCTTCACTCTTCCCGAAGAGCTTCTTCACCACAAACATCCATACCATTGACCCTCAACCCTGTAGCAAAAAGCTGCTGTGGACCAAGCTCTGGGGCCTGAGCCATGAGGCTCATTGCCACTGTGGCTAAGCTGGGGGGCCCTTGCCACTTGCCTTCAGATGCTAAAGTGGGCTATGGGGACATAGGACAAGTTCATGGAAAAGAAGTCCACTGGGAGTCACTGAGTATATAGAAACCATCTCCCCTAAGGGAGATGCCAGCCTCAGACAGCTGGAGAACACTGGAGGGAAGCAGCAGGTTCTTGCCCTCTTCTCTGGAGACCCATTTTTGGCTAGGACTCGAGTAATTTCCCAGAGGAGATAGATCTCTGCTTGAGCTGGTATGGTCCCAACTCATCAGGCAGGGCCAGGGCCAAGTGCACTAATGCCAACACCTATTAATGACTCTCAGTAATTACAGATCCCCCAACACACCTTACGTTAGGAGACCCCCAAGAGTTTTCTCCCCCACCAAAACGCATCCCACCAGCCAAGGACACCTAGAGCCTCCTTACGTACTTGCTGCCCGGTGTGGAGCTGCCGGCAGCTGGGGCTGGGGAACCGGGGTGCCTGGCTGGTCTCCTCCGATGGTGGCACAAAGGACCCGTCCTCTCGTGGCACCAGGTGAGCAGATGCTCGGCCGAGGTCGGTCTGCAAGCCGGGGATCTGGGTGGCCACCAGCACCCCTTCGGCCAAGGCGCTGGGAGCAGCAACGCGGGTGCCTAGCAGGGATCGCTTCCCCAGGCGCCTGGACAGCACGCTCGCCATCTCGGACACGCTGCGGAAGAGAAAGATAGGGGATGTTACCTCCAGTGCAGGACCACGACGTTCAACCGGTGTCTTCCCCCCCCACTGCCACCCTGGGAGCGGAGAAAGCAGCTCTCTGCTGCTCTCTCTCCAGCTCTCATCTTTATGGTCATTTCTAAACCCCTTGGGGGGAAAAAGATTAAGAAAAAAAAAAAAAGATAAGCCAGCCCAAAGGAAACCCCGTGGGCACAGTCTGGAGCCCATGTCCCTCCCCCTGCCTCAGGCTGTCCCTGGTGCACGCTCCGGAGGCCACTGCGGCCATTCCCGCCCGTCATGCTGAAACCCGCCGTCGGTGCTCTTCAACCTTGACCTCTAGACTTGGGCCCGTGCCCGGCGCAGTCCTGCAGCTCCCCTCCCCGCTCCCCAGCAGGGGAGGAAAGCTCTCCGGCAGCAAAAGCCAGCACCCCTTCTCAGCCCGCACCCTGACCCTTCCCTTTATCAGGAGCTCTCATGCTTTTGGGAGAGGTTTCTCCAAGCTCACAGCTTACGCTCAGCCCTCCCAGGGTCGGTCTGGCCACAAACAGGGAGCATCCTCCTTGTTAGAAAAGGAAGAGTTTGGAGCGTTTTTCATCCTAAACTGTTTTTCTGTAACTATCTTGAACCTATTTTTGTCCCCCAAATAGCTTCCCTTTCCTCTGACATCCCCTTTTCTCCCGTTGGTGCAGCTCTGCTAGCAAGCCTATCCAGAGAGCAGCTTGCCCGGCTCGTTTGTGTTTGTAGATTTTATTGCTGTTTTACAAGAAACAAGTATTTACAGGTTTCCTTATAAGCAGGGGACACCCAGACATGGGGACAGACGATGCACCAAGCCCTGATAAATCCGACAGCTCCAGTAGTGCTTGCTGTCCTCCTCTGTCCTGTCCTCCTCCCAAAGTCTCCCCGGCTGCAACACCCTCTCCGAGGAGAGCGGGAAGCGAGGATGCACACCGTGGCGAGGCCGAAGGGTGACAGTGCCTGGGGTTTGGGAGGAGGGAGAGGCGGCAAGAGGCTCGGTGCAGCCCCGTGCCTCAGGGTTCACAGAAAAAGCCGTGTGCTTTCGCACCACCAACAAACCTGTCACCTCTGCCACCCTGCCTGGGCTCGTCAGCACGTGTCACCCAGCCGGCCGGGGGCTGCGGGTGGTAGCTGGGTGCTTGGGTTGCAGCGTCACCTGGGCCACGGAGAGTCCGAGGAGCTGCTGCTCATGCAAGAGGGAGGATTAACCCTGAGCTAATGGGTGATTGCACCCAGGCTCTCCCCTCTTCCCGCAGGGTCTCTGCGAGAGACACTTGGTTCCTCATCATGAAGCAGCGGCATTTTAACGTCAGAGAAGTTTTTTTGGGGTTTTTTTTTGGACACCTGATTGACATAGCACACTCTCACACGCTATCTCGGATGAGAAAAGTTTCCCGAGGAAGGGAAGGGGAGCTCACTGCTCCTCTCAACCCCCAACCGTCTCAGGAAGGGTTACTCCAAACCACGTCCCGCTTCAAAGAACACCCAAGATTTACAAGCGGTTTTATGAATAACCGTACGCACTCAACTTGCTTTGTCCTCCCCCGAAATCTAGCCGTCCCCGAGTAGAAAATTAACAGCTATTCA